GAAAAAAAGAATAATGATGATTTAATTAACTGGAATATTTAAAAAGAAGGGGAAAGAAAAAGAAAGAGAATGTTAGCTACACAGAGAGACCAGGTAGTAGAAGTTAAGTCTGAATGGGTTCGGTCGTGGGGTTAGGGCAAAAGCAGCTCCCTGCAGTGTGGCGGCTGAGGGGGTGCCCCAGCCAGGCCAGACCTGATGCTAGGGCTCAGGCCAATGTCACTGCTGCCAGGCCGTGACCGAGTCCTAGGCTTTCTCTAGACCCAAGAGATCTCTTCCCTCAGTGTAAGTACACTATGAGGCAAACTTGGGAACTGGGTTAAGGCTATGCCTGACTCTGTCCTGCCGCTATGTCTCACAGCAGTAAGAGTTTGGGCAGTGTTCAGCCATGAACATGAACAACCCCATGAGGTTGGGGCAAAAGCAGCTCCCTGCAGTGTGGTGGCTATGGGGGGTGCCCCAACCAGGCCAGACTCAATGCTGGAGACTCAGGCCAAAGTCAATGCCAATAGACAGTGATCAAGTCCTAGGCTTTGGGCAGCCACTGCACGAGGCTCTGCCTGCTGGCTGCCTGGTGGCAAGCTCTGGGGTTTTTAGGATATATAATTGCTATCTAGGGACATCCATGGATAAGGCCAGTATGAGTGTAGGTGAGGAATGAATTTGGGGTGATTCCCAGCAACGGGGTCACGAACTATCTGGCAAGCATGGGGACAAAGACCTGGTGGCTTGGAGGGGAGAGTCCATAAGATCAATTTGGGCCAGAGTAATTCACCAGCCCAAATGGGAATCCTGAGATGAGCTGTTAGTGTAGGGCATCACTGACTACCACACACCAGTCCTCAGGAAAGCTATGGATGGGGGTCTATGTGGCAGGGCTAGGTACCAGTAACTGACTGAGTGGTGGAACAGTGGACGGGTCACACTTGGCAGAGTCAAGACACTAATCAGCACACCAGAGAACCAGGTCTGAGGGTAGATTCTGTGGGGAAGTATGGGCCGAACCCTGTGGAAACACAAGTCTCGCTTGTTAGCTTGCGAGCTGGAGTGGTGATGGACTGAGCTAGCTGTGACCATGGGACCTGCCATCACTTACGGGTAAAGAAACTGACAACAGTCTGGGCAGGTCAAGGCAGCAGGACCTGAATATGCATCCTAAAATGGGATGTGGGGTGGGCTGAGCTGCAACTGGAAGGGGGCAGACCGGACAGGGCTGAGCAAACTTCAACTCACAAGGAAGAACAGAAATCAGGATGGAGCACAGGTCACACCAAAGAGCATAAGTTCTTACACCAACTGGTCTGCATTAGCCAGGAATACTAGGCCACAGAGTCAAAGGCACAGGCTAAGACAGCCGAGGGGCTAAGCCAACTGGGTCAGAGTAACCACTGGCATGCATATAATCTAGGGCTGGGAATAGGCTCGGTTGGGGAGCTGGAGTGGGGTCTGCATTCTGGTCTGGATATGGCTGTAATCTCCCTACGCATAAGTGTGAACTGGGGCTGGGTACACCTAGCTGGGCTAGACACCAGCATCATCTCGTGTTCTAGAGAACCTGGGTAGATGTAGGACTGACAAGGCTAGGTCTCTGCCGCTACTGAGCCATGTGTGAGCCTTGGCTGAGCTGAAACAACCAACAGTAAGAACCAGAATAGATTGAAGGCCAGCAAGAAAGGCCACTGTTCCTACTAGGACAAGAGGTGGACTAAGTAGGGCTGGCCCATGGACCTACCAGTATGCACAAGATTTGGCATAGGGAGAAGTTCCTATGGAGGAGCTTGGGAAACTCCTCTGTCGGGACACAGTCCCTATAGGTGAGCACAAGAACCACAATAGGAAGCAACCCAGACCAGGCCAGAGAAAGATACCCACTGGTATACATTTGGCATAGGTCTTGGGCAGTCCAGGCTGAACCAGTTCATATCACCCACTGGCTTAAACTCAATCAAACATCATAGATTAGTAGACTGGATTAAAAAACAAAACCCATCTATTTGTTGTCTAGAAGAGATACATTTCACTAACAAAAATCATATATCGCATAGGTCTTGATGTTTTCTGTTAGTTTCATCTCTTCAAAACACTTTCTTTTGATTAAATTCTTTAGTGACTCATAGATCATACAGTAGCATCATTTTCTGTGAGAAGGTTCTTGATTTTCATCTCTTCAGCTACACGTTAGTCATTCAGTAGCAGTGTTATTTAACTTTATGGTGTTGTTAATTTCTTTTTTCTCCCAGATGTTGATTTTGTTTTGTGGCTTTTCATTTAAGGGGATGTATAGTAGCTGTGTAATGGAGACTGTCATATCTGTGACATGTTATTTAACTTCATGGCATTGTAAATTTCTGTTTTTCTTTCTAGTGTTGATTTTGTATTATGACTTTTCATTTGAGGGGATGTACAGTAGCTGTGTAATGGAAGCTAACATATCCAGATGTAAGGATACAATGTAGTATGCATCTCTACTTCCAGACAAAGATGGACTTACAATGAAACTGTGTACTATATCTTGACAATAGAATGCTGGACTCTCTGCCATTGTCCATGGCCACAATGTTGGACATATGACTGAGTATGAAGAACTATACTTCATATACTTCATATATACTTTAGTAATGATATAGAGAAACTAGGTGGGAGCGGGAATTGGGGTTGGGATAAGGGAATACCAGGAGCTTATGGAACTGTATCATAAAATGGTAATAATAATAATAAAATGTAAAATGTGAGAAAAATTATAAGGAAAGATTGACACATGTACAGTAGGACAAATAGATGATTTTTTTTTATATTGAGAAACTTAATAAAGATATAGAAGACTTATGTTCTACAATTAAAGGTCTTGCCCTACAGAGACAGTGTGGTGGTGCTGCAGGCCGATCTGCCCTATGGCAGCAGCAGCCTATTTGGGCACCAATTCATAACCTGGCTGCTCCACTTCTGACCCAGCTCTCTGCTTATGGCCTGGGAAGGCAGTGGAGGATGACCCGTGTCTTTGGTACCCTGGAGCCTGGCTCGTGGCTTTGGATTCAGCTCAGCTCTGGCTGTTGTTGTCATTCAGGGAGTGAACCAGCTGATTGAAGACATTCTTTATCTCCCTCTCTCTGTAAAATCTACATTTCAAATAAAAATAAACAAATCTTAAGAAAAAAAAAATGTTGACCCACTAGAGATGCCTAAGCCTTGTTCTTCAAAAATAGAACTTCCAATTTTTTAGATGGCAAGAAACATTTTAGGTAAGAAACATTTTTAAAATGTATTACATTTCACATATGCCTGTTTTGTGGCTTTGCGAGTCAAGCTGCTGCCTGCAAAATTCCAGCATCCCATATGTACACTGGTTCATGTCCCAGCTGCTCTACTTCCAATCCGACTCTCTGCTGATCTCCTGGGTAAAGCAACAGGATGTAGTTCAAATGCTTTGGCCCCTGTGACTCATAGGAGAGATCCAGAAGAACCTCTTTCCTTTGACCTGACCTAGCCCAGGCCATTCTGGCCATCTGGGAAGTGAATCAGCAGATGGAAGATCTGTCTACCTATTTAAATGCATCATGGCATTGTAGATACGAACAAAAGTAGAAAATCTAGTGTCATTAATATATGCTGTCAAGGTATATCTAGCTGTTTTCTTGGGTGTCCTTTTCTTTTCACAAGATAATAGTTTGCTGCTTTGTGTTCCCAATATTTGTTATTCATGGTACTTTCATTATAATTGAATCCAGCTAGATTCTATGAAGCAAATGCCTGGGTGTGATTTGGTTCTTACCATTACTTAAATTCTAACAAAATGCTATTGTAGCTTTTTGTCTCTGAAGACTTACAGAAGAACCTTTTCAAATAATCATTACCAGTAATTTCGGTATGACCTACAGATGAAGACATTAAACTTGAACAGCCACATAGGCTGCAGAGTCAGTGGCAGAAATGGGACTGGAGAAAACAACTCATGCACTTTAGAATTTCACGTGGTCTCTCCTCAAGCTGTGAATCACCAGTTTGCAAATGGCTCTTGAATATCTGTGAGCATGCAGCTACATGACCTAGAACAGGCAATACTTGTACTTCTGTTTTTAGGTAACATTTGTCACATCTATGTTCTTATGATATTGAATTTAAGAATATGTAATGTAGAAATTTGAGACCACAAACCATCTCAGAACTTGAATAATATATATCTGTGATCTGCATTCATTTTATTAACTAATTATCCAGTAGGTAATAGAACAGACTCTATGCCATTTTGCTAAATATTTTAAAGTGTTTCCTCTGGAGGACCTGCAAGAATCAATTCCTAGGCAACCCCTCACTACCCTTCAGTCTAGAAACTTGCCTTCCTGCCATGCATCAAGGGCAGTTCTGGCCAGCTGGGCTGCCAGGGCCTAGAATGAGCAGCTAGGATCTCCTGTCTTGCTACTGTAGGGATGTCATCAAATAAAGTATCCTGCATTAGATGCCCCCTCTTTTCATTTCCCTTCTTCTATAGCAGTTTCTTGTGAATTCCACTGGATTTGCAAATGGGTGGTGCATATTTTGATTGAAAAATTCTTGTGTGTTTGCACACACACACACACACACATGCATTTTCTTACTGAAGATTCTTGCTGAAGAATTGGCATTCAGCATTACCTATTTGCCTCTTCTGGAAAATGGATATAGTAGTTCATGTCAATTGATGAGAAATATTTGAAAAAGGTCTAAAATATGGAAATGCTTTTTGTCTTAAAAGTTGTTTTTGGGGCCCGGCGTGATGGCGCAGTTGTTAGGGTCCTCGCCTTGCACGCCCGGGATCCCATATGGGCGCTGGTTCTAATCCCGGCAGCCCTGCTTCCCATACTTTGCAAATGATCTAATTTAAAGCTTAGATTTTAAAAAGTGGAACAATGGTTAGTCTTAATGTTTCCATTTTCATGGTTTGTGTGTAGGTAAGTAGATGTGACTTTTCATGCTTTATTAAAAGTGTGTTGAGTCTCTCCTAATAGTTCATCTTTTTTCTTCTACAGCTTCAAAGTCTATTATAAACAGTATGCTACGGGACCCTTCTCAGATTCCAGATGGAGTTCTAGCAAATCAGGTCTATCAGGTATTAATCACAGCTGTCTATTTTCAGCGACAGTGCCGTTATCTGCCTGGCAGAGTAAAGGATTTTAAACCTCATTTAATTACTGTCATCATAAACTATCACTGAGGTCAGGGTGTACCATAAATGGCGATGCAATATTTGTGAGAAGAGCATTTCACTTTTTAATAGCTTGCTTTTATAGTGAATAAAAAGCGTGCACTTTTTGTTTTCTGTGATTAAATCTGAACAGCCCTTTAATAGCTTTCTTTTGGGGGGACAGGGAGAGAAAAGTAATTACTGCATTTAGGATATTGTTTTACTGTAATAGGGTTTTTTTGGTTGGTTGGTCTTTTTTGTTTGTTTGTTTGTTTGTTGTTTTCTGGCAATCACCCCAGCCTAGACCCTTTCTCTTATTTCTCTGCAGTGCATTGTGAACGACTGCTGTTATGGACCACTGGTGGACTGCATCAAACAGTATCCTTTGCCATAAAATTTTAGGTGCACAATTGACGAGCTTAGACTCAGTGGAAGAGATGTGTCTAGCTTAACCTGACATAAAGTTCTGCTTCACAAAACACATTTCATACTCTTCTATTTTACATTCAATCAGCTGAAGGGTCACTGCAGACATTCTTTTCAATAGCTTAAGAATCAGATTGGCCACAGGAAGATGTCAGCTCAGCAGCTGCACTTTCACAAGCTTCCTGCAAACTGCTTGGTTTTTAATGAGTTTAAAGATACAGAGTCGTCATGAGGCAGATAATACACTGCCTTCCAATGGTATTTAACTGTTCCAGTGAGCATTTTAAAAATATAGTGAAGTTCCCTTTAGAATGTGCCAAACTCAGTTGAGTTCAGGGGGATAAAATTTAAGTCCTAACCTAAAGGACCATGTGATTAAAATGCTGCTGCCAGAGACCATCACATTGTAAAGGACAGTAGATTCTTATTACTTAAATGCTGATTATAATCTGAACTATAATCCTAATAAATATGTTTATAGATACTAAGTTTATTTTTTCCTCTGGAATGAATTTAAACTTATAAGAACAGATGTTCAGTCCTTCTCCATTGAAAACATTGAGATTAGTAAGCAGTTAATAGTGGTTACTTGTTAAAACAAGGTTGAGGGTAGTAACTATTTTAAGATGCAGGATATTATTCATCAGTAAATTTAATAGTGTTCTTGCAACAGTAAGAATTTTGATAATCATCTACTAAAATATTATCTAAATGGAAAATAAATTGTAGTTCATGGTGACAAGAGTACCCAATAGAGCTTGTGTGCCTCAGACCTCTCACTAAAGTAGACACACTGTTCCTTGCATGAGTTGTACTGGATTGGATGTCATGGGACCAAGTATGACTCGCTGATTGCCAGTCAGGAAAATTTCTGTTGAGGACTCTTGCAAGTTCAATGGATGTATGCACATGCACCTGCATGTATGTGCCTGTGTGTGCATGCTGATGTTCCATTGTATCCCTTGCTTCACAAAGGCTTAGGGTCAGTTAGGTGGTCTGTAAGAAAATTCCTGTCTTCCACAGATAAAGCCAATCTTTGAAGAATAATCACGTGCTGGAGCCTTCTTCCAAAATTATCCAATACCTCAGCTTTTTACATTAATAACAAATGCAGTAATGTCATAAGCCTGCCTTGTTTGTTAAACCCAAATGAAACAGTGCTTCCATTTTCAACATAAAATTAATGATGGTCTTAAAAGTTGTAGGAGTGCCAATCTCATGTTGGTACACTGATAAAGTTTAGCACATTCAAATAACAACTAACACCATGGTAGAGTATCTGGGGCTGAATTACATGTTAATTTTAAAGCACATAAAATAGTTAAAAATCAATTTAAAGTTAAGGTTTTAAAAGCATAATGTCTTTTGAAGGATTGCATATTGATTTTAAATATAACTATCTAATTATATATGCATGGACTAAAGTATGAAGTCAACTGCTTTGTAAATGCCAGGAGGCTATTTTTCAGTAATAGTTGAGATGCTTACGGGAAACTAGATTGCTGTATTGCTGGCGAAGAAAATGGCTTGTGAGGTTATTTACAAGTTTTGCCCCATGGTCACTGCCATACATCAATAAAAGGTATTATTATGGACAAAGTCTAAGTGTTTCTGCTTATAGAGCATTATAAATTCTGTTTGGAGTATTTTCCATACATTTTTGCCATCATTCACTTGCCTTTTTTGGTTGTATTACTGCCAGTAGAGTTTAATGTAGTACATGATTTCAATTGATAAAAAGAATGATGTATGTCTGTAGATTGCATTCAATGACTGGATTATAATTTTTTGTAGTTGCATTATGCCTATTACTGCTGAAATAACTGCTTTTACAAGGTTTGTTGCCTGTATTTTGCATTATATATGAAGCAAATCATATCAAGGAAGATGTCTTTCCAAAATTTCCCTTGCAAAATGAAACAGGCTTGAAAGATTATAGGGATACTGGCTTGATCTTTGCATTGAAGTAGTTTCAGTTTCATATACTGTAAATATGCTTGTGTAGATGTTTCACAGTCTGAGCAAGAGGAATTGCTCGATTTCACAGTGAATAAACACGGTTGGTTTTCCCTGGGAGTGAAAATGCTGCTTTTGTGGTGATCTCACATTGCTTATTTTCAAGGAGTTGCATTATTTTGTAAGAAACACAGTACACTGATAATGAAAAGAATAAGCACAAAATCCTTTTTTGCACCATTACAAAAATTTTACCTGTAGACATTTGTTTAAGTAGAATAAAGTAAGTTCTACTTGGTTATTTATGAGTAAGAATCCACTGGAAGTACAGTAGCAAAAAGGATGCCCATTGTTATTGTACTTTCTTTCTCTTGGTGTCGGCTGTTTCTTCTTATGTAGCCAAGTCTACTCACGCATTTCTCTCCACAGCCCAAACTCAAATAGGAAAAATGTGAAAAACCAGCCAACTCAGCTTTGTAAAGCATTGATGCCAGGACACAATTATTAGACAGAAGTCTGAACAGGAGTTGAGAATGATAATGATGCAGGAAACTTCAGATGCTGTGGGTTTCATTTCTGTACCATCAGTAACCTCAGTTTCATGATTCAACATTGTAGATGTAAATAATTTACAACAATAAAAGTGAGAGCACATTTGTGTGGAATAGCAGTAAATAATTTAGTTCTAAAATGTGTGATGTCCCTAGTAATGAGAGACCATTGAGCAGCATTCATCAAAAATGTTCAGTGGACTCTACAAATGTGTGCAAATTCAGTGATTTAAAAATCAGTGTCCTTTATTTTGTTCCCAATTAGAAATTCAGCAAGCATGGGCATGTGCATTGTTGGAGATGAAGGGATAGGCAGCAAAAATGACACGGGGCTTGCGTTGATTGTGAACATAAATGACCACTCCTCTTAAAATACAAAATAATAAATAAGAAGATAATAAGATTTAAACAATATTCTTCTGTTTAAATGTGCATGTAATGAAAGATAGGATAATTTTCTAGGGATTGGGATTTTTTGTTTTGTTTTGTTTTGTTTTTCTTTTTTACAAATTATATCAGTTTTGCTTGGTGTAGGTTGAACTCCTGCAAGAGAAAGAACGTCAGCCTCAAGTAAGCCACGTATTGAAGTAAACAGGTTGCGGTTTCGGTGGAATGGAAAGTGAAAGCAGTGATTCATGTAACTGTTATCAAATGCACCAACTGAAGTATCAGAATAGGAGGGCCCTCCTTTTCAGATTTTATGAATTCTCATCTTTTTAGAAAATAGACCAGATTTGCAAATCCCACTTCGACAAGTTTTTCAGCCTGCCTGAACCTCACTTTCCCTTGGCTGTTAGAGGACTGATGATAGTGTCTGCTCATGAGGCTTTGGTGGAGATGGAGTAAGATTGAATCTCAGAGTGCTCAGTACAGTGACATTATAGTTAGCATTTCAACAATATAAACTATTACTTCTTATTATTAAAGAGTAATAATACTTTTTGAGAAGCTGCATGGCAGTCATAAACTTGGAATTTGCCGAGATCTCATTCTCCGCTTTGCCACACAATTCAGGCCTCATACAAGTTTCTACCTGTCGGTTTCTTTGTCTATAAAATACAGTTCATAGCAATTGTAATATTCATAATCATTTAATACACTGCCTGCCACATACTGAGCACTGAAAAGATCTGTGTGTTCATGTGTTTTTGCACTTATATAGTATGTGTACATATGCACAATTATGAAGAAAAAGCCTGTTTCCAACCACTGTGCCCACACCCTAATCCACATTTCTCTACAGTATAGCTTTACTTCCTATTGCATGTATTCTCAAAAAGTCAGTTGTTTGGCTACCCAACTCATAGAAGACCGTCAACAGTAGAGTCAAAGTGAAAACAGTAGCTGCTGGATTCTGGCTCCATGCAAAGAATGAATTCATAGAAGAATTACAAAAATTTCTAAGGCTGGTAACTCTTTTGAACCAAAGATTGGCTGATATTCTTTTCTTCTCCCTAGAAAGTGCTTACTTAACATGATAACTGAGTAATATAAACAACCTCTCTGTTCTCTTTTTGAAATAAGTTAAAAGACATCAAATCTTTACCAGAATATATATTTGTAAGAAAACCCCATTGCATCATGTAAATGAAGGGAGAGATATTTGCATATATCTTTCCTCAGCGATGTGGATTACAGGTGGAAATGATTGTTACAATTACCGTGATTCTCCATGTCATCTCAGAGTATGGACCGAGTTACGAGCTTTTACTCATTTTGTCTGCAATCCCCTCCTTAACTAAAACTCCTCAGTGCCATTGGTCACGAGCATGAAGTCCTACTGAGAGATTTGCTTCTAGAGAAAAATCTGTCTTTCCTAGGTAAGTACTGCTCACCCCTCTAGCTTATAATAGCTCCATGAGTACTTACATATATATTTTTAAAATCTTCTACTTGCTGTTATTATGTAGTACAGGAAGAGTGAACCATGATTGATGGTGTGCATGTTATCTTTTATTGATTTAGAACTGAGCAGGAACTCAGCTACCTAATCCCCCATATGTACAGCCCATGCACAGGCTTGCAATTAATATTTTATAGAATAAGTGGCTAAAAAAATGCTTTAATATCTGTTTCAGTATTACTTTTGGTGTCATGAGATATTAACCATAATCTAGACCTTATGAGAAAAGGAAACAAAAAAATGTTGCCTATAAAATGCTTTATACATTAAAAAGAACAGCTAAAAAATTCATGCTAGGTATGTTTATGTCATGTATAGAAGAGGGTCATCCTTTTATATGAAGTAAAAATATTAAATTTTTATTATTTTTTGTCAAACATTAATTATCATTATGGATTTAGTACTATTTTTTGAAATTCCACTCATATGTGTGTTTGCTTGCCAGTGTAGAATCCTGTTACACGTTGCTACCTCTTTGAAGGCATCTTTTAAGCATTAGAAAGTAAGCCTCAAAGGACATTCATGCAATAACTTATCACACAACCCATAACACACTCCACAAGGAGTGAATTCCTTTTATCTGTTTTACATGTGACAGTTTGTGAAGGTTCCATACAGATTGGTTTATTAACAAATCTATGTTATAGAGAACTGAAGAGTCTGCATAGTATCTTTTTTTAGGACCAAAAAAATCAAAGAACACTGAATTATATGATTTTTGTCACAGAAGGGATAAATAACTGCCCACAGAAGGTCAAATTCAGAGAAATAATTATCTATTTCGAATTTAAAAAGGATGTTTGGTATGGACCTGCAGGGAATAGACTCTAATTCTTAGAGGTCAGTGTTTTATTAACAAAATAGAGAATGGCATTGGATAGTTTATAAGACAATAACTTGAACTGGAGGAGATAATCATTCTTTAGTTAGAGCTGAAGAAAGTAGATAAATTGGGAAAGTAGTCTCAAATTTCTAAATCAAAATTCAATATGTGGTAGCAACAAGTTTTTTTCATATAAGAAATAGAACTGACTGACCTATGGAGATAGGATAAATTGAGAAGAAATTGCCTTTTTAACATATGAGAAGTAGAACACTATTCAGCCATTAAGAAATTGGAAACCCTATTGTTTTCAATGACAATCTGTAAGTGAAGTAAATCAGATCCCAGAAAGTCCAACACCACGTGGTCTTACTCATGTGAAATCTTAACAAGGTGATATCATGGGAGTTAATGCTAGGCTAGTAGTTGACAGAATCTGAGGAGCGTTGGAGAGGGAGGAGACGGACAGGTAGCTCTGGGTGCAATGTTAACAGCTAATTGGGAAGAATGGGTTATAGTATTGTATGACATAGCAGAGTGACTACTGTTGGCAGTAATGCATTGTACACTCCAAGATAGTTACAAAAGATTTCAATTATGCTTGTCATAAACAGAAATTTAAGGTGATGATTTGTCCCAAATTAATCATTGCCTGAACTGATCATTGCCCAGTGTGCACATGTATCAAAACATTGCATTATTTTGTGTAAATATTAACAGATATCGTATGTTGAAAATATATTTTATATATGTATAATAAAAATAGAGTATGTATACCCCAGAGCCTGTTGTAAGGGGTTACCCAAAATGAATGATGAGATGGATTTCAGACCTATGGAGTTCTGCCAGCAGCAGGGAATATCTGATCATATTATTCACTTAAATAATGCCCTTTATGGCACGGCCAGATATCGTGTTTTGGTTTTTTATTTGTTTGTTTGTTTTGATTTGTTTTGGTTTGGTTTGGTTTTAAGTCACTGATGGGCGTTACTCTCTTGGCTTCAATTGCTCATTGACCTTCAATCCCATTTCTTTGCCTGACACCTTGTTACCTTTCAAAGAACCAGCAGACTCCAAATGGAAGAATCAGCAAAGAACTTAGTTGTGGCTCAATCTTAGTTCTGCATCCTCTGTTTTCTGAACCTGAGTGTCTTTAGACTGGACTCACTATGGCTGACAAAAGGTAGTGTAGAAATGTGGTTTAGGAGTCATTTCCATTCCCTTTCAAGTACACAAGGGGACATAAAATTGAAATTGATGGCCCCATCAATTTTTCTATGCTGTTGGACATAGAGGTAATTATTTTATGGAAGCATACCCGAGGATAATATCTAACTGATCTTTTAAAATAAATGAGTTCTAGGGAAGTTTTACTGATTCTGTACAACTTCAGTCCTGTTTTCAGGCATTTCCTCATCAGTATACAAAGAACTTGTTAATTTATTCTGTGCATTTTAAGTGTTTCAATGTAGTACTGACATATGCTTGTTTACAGTTAAACCATGAACAATCTAAGGCTTATGTGAAATATTGTTATGAGGTTGTTGTTTTTTAAATTGTAAATATTCCTTCACAGTGATTAATTTCTTTGAAGTACTGTGCCAGGCAAATTCATATAGATCATCTTTTTAAATACAACTGCGGAAAATGTTGATATGTGAATAGACCTCTAATATGATCTGATTCTTTCTTGTTTCTATGAATACACCTTGAATTTTGTTGCTGAAACAGTGCAGTCAGATTCCTCTATAAGCAGGAGTAAATCTTTCTCACTTTGTTGGTCTAGATTACTTTCAACAAACAAGTACTCTTACTGTTCTTGTTTATGCTTGTATAGTAACTCTTTTTGGAGAATTACGACTCTCCCCAAGATATTTTCCATTCCAATCTAAATTTTGTATCAATTGTATTCTATATGCTATTTTATAAAATACATAGTTTACCTGAGCTCTCGGCAATAGAAAGGGAAAATAAATCACCTTTTCTCTCACTTTAATATTTTCTTAAATTTCCTTGATTAATAGCCATAAACTATGTAGTTCCTTGACATAAGGCTTAAGCCAGCACAGTGGGAAAGAAAGCATAAATAATAGTCCTTGATAAAGACTTAGTGGACTCATGTGGATTTATCTCATCTTATAAATGTTTCCATTTCATACTTCTACAAATGAGTTTGTTGCCACAGTTGAATAAATTTCCTCATTCTCCAACCAAAATTTTTTAGTTTATATATTTGTGTCTTTGTTCCTCAACTAAATTCCTGAGTTCCATGTGATTTCAGAAAAACACACAAATCAGAGGGAGTCCCTGTCTTCATAAAGCTACAACTTAGTGGGGGCACACGTCCTAAACAGATGCCTGTTTTCTAATATATCAAGAGCTGAGAGTTATTACAGTTCTTTTATTGACTCATTCTTCATTCTTTTCATGTAATATTTGTTGAGTACATTCTCTATCTGTGAAGAACACCACTAGTTAGTATGAAGGGGACGAGTTATGGGTACTTGCTCCCTGCCCCAGTGTTCACAGCTGTGCACACAGGCCATATTTGTCCCAGTGAGAATGGGGTTCTCTACTGCAGCTCACTTAGTAGGTGCTCATTTCATGTATTGACAATAGATTAAATCAAGGCTGTTGTCAAGCAGTCGTTATTGAACTTATGTAAAATATGTACAAGTTATACTAAAAGTCAGTATAAAAGTCTTCACCTTGCAAGTGAAGAAAACGCTGCTGCGTCATGAACTGTTTTACCTGAAATGACGCTAGACTTTTACCTGTTCATCTGCACACTCTACCACACAAAAGCACCATCCTGTACCATGTACTTCTAGAATAACTAGTTGAGTTCATTAATGTGTCTCTTGTACTGTTGAACCATCTAATCTTTTCAGTACTTGTTATGGGCAGACACCATTAGGGTTGAAGAACTTTCTTTCCCTTAAGTTGAATCATACATCGAACCCTCCAGAGAAATTTAAGTTTCAGTATATTTTGGTAGATTTAATTTAGAATTAACATCTGTTGATCAGTATTTAAAGTCTCAGATGTCTTCCAGGCTTAGATGTACCCAACACATAACATTTCTTCTTTTTCCTTTTTTCCTTCTTTCCTTCTTCCCTCTTTCCTTCCTACCTTCCTTCCTTCTTTCCCTCCTTTCTAGTTTAGCATATATAAAACCTGTGCATGTTTAGTGTACTATATAATAATTCATTGGATGTACACATTTTGTAATACCTAACAGGGAGAATATTTTGTAATACCTTCATGCATTTAACTTTTCTTTATAGTGAAGGCATTCAAAATCTTTTCTCAAAGTTTTTCTTTTTTTTTTTTTTTGCTGGTTTATTTGTTAATTTAAAAAGTAGTCAAAGCCAGCATTGTTCTTTGCTAATGTTTACGTGGTTGTTCAGGAGTGAGGGTAAAGTGGGTGAGAGCATTGTTTCCAAATGTTCCTTTTCTTCCTCCTGTATCTGGGGTAGAGGCAGAAATAAGGGGGAAAAGCCACACACAGCCTTACAACCACCTCAGCACCCAGGGATAGGGAATGGCCACCCAATATCATCCCAGGGTCCCTGATGTGGCGCTTGCTCTGAGGATTCTACATAAATGGTTTCAATAGTTCTGAAATGCTGTGGATCTTGCCACTGCAAAGATGAGGAAATCCTTCCAAGTTCTGTTGACTGATATAATCCACCTTAGAGTCTCCATTTGTGCAGATACTTGCTGTCAACACTTGGCTGGGATAGTTGACCCATTTTTTTCCTGCCCTCCATATTCTGCTGTGATACCAGATGTCCTCTGCAGGCTCCAGTGGACTGCCATTATCTTCAGTGTGCATCCAGGTATACCATCCACTGCTCTATCTTATCCATTAAGGAGGTCCAGGTCTGACACATGCACTCTAGGGTCAGTCCACCAATCCTGCCATTCTCCCCATAGTTTGGGTGTAGTCCAGCAGTTCAGTTAGGAAGATCCCCAAAGAGACCTTGTTTGAGATGACCCCAAAGCTGAGCCTTGTGTGTGCTTGCCAGTACAGGGTCTGGCTCAGTTGTCACCCACATCAACTTATATACACACTGGTAGTTGCAACTGCT